ATATATATATATATATATATATATATATATATATATATATATATATAGGTTTTCTAGGAAAACGAGCTAGAGTTCGATTAAAGCGGACTAAACAGGGCTGGTGTGAATGCACCCAAAGTCTTTTCTTGGAGAGCTAAGTAGCGAAGCTACAAGCTAACTACAGCCGGCTTGCCGTAGTGTTGCCGTATTCGGACGCATGCGCAAAACGCTGAGTTCCGTCGAAAGTTGTTGTTTTTTTCCCATCGAAAGTTAAAGTAAGCGTTGGTCATCTTTAGAGAAACCTGCTCTCTGATCTGTGAAAAGAACGCCATGTTGTGTGATTTTACTGCGAGACCCTCTGGTCAAAGCCACAGACTCATTTTGTGTCAACTCTCCATTAAAGCGGAAGGAGACGCCAACTAGAGGGTTAGAGGGTGAAGTGTTTGAGTGTAAAATACTGCTCTGTTGCTGTTCATTTCTCAAGTGAGAATACTGGAAAGTGACAAATAAAAACCTTAAATTTGTATGAATCATTTGTGAATGTGTATTGTTGTCGTTATCACTGTCTTATTCTCTTGTGCTCTGGTCCAGTGTCTTCATGGACGATGTGTGTGAGGGTGGACATGTTTGGATGTTGCTGTGTTGAAGCTCCATGGATCAGCCTCTCTGCAGCTCTCAGCACCTTCACTGAGCCTCGAGGGAATCACTGAGCTGCTGTTGTTCTTCAGAGTTAGAAGGTGGTAGCTCTCATCAAAATGATGATGACCGCTCCAACATGGCGGCCGAAAATCCTGCGACAAAGCAGCCAATGCGGGATGTAGTGATTATATGATATCTATGGTAAATTATGCTAGTATCCGAAGGCCCCATCCCTAATTTGAATGCGGTTACCATCAAACCAATTATAGCTCAACTTGCTGAAGGTTAACTTGGTTACCTGTGATAACTTAAACAAAATGGCAAACCTAAGACTTACATGGCAGTATTTTTAGACATATAAAATAAATGCTAACTTGCATTTAAAGATAAACATGATTTAACCAGCATTTATCTTGTATGCTATAGATGAAGCATGCTAGCATTGACTTAGCATTTTATGCTAGGCGAACGAGCAAAATCAAAAACCGGGCAGCTGGATCTTGGTTCGACACATAATCGGGTTCCTGAAGGCTCATAATTCGCATCGAACACCAAGATTTACACCATTAACGATAAACTCTGCAGCAGTTTCAAAGATTAGTAAAAGCAATCCACGGAAAGCCTCGTCCGCCATTTTTAATCGGAAGCCACGAGATCAGAGGAAACTGTGGGGTTAACTTTCTTTCAATCGACGGCTTGTATGACATGCTTATCTTTAGATTTCACCGATCGGTAATTCTTAATCTACTGCAATATGAACTGATTGTGTATACAAATTTAAACTCGTTCATTTCCATTCTCATTTAGGCCTACGTGTTGACTTCCTGCTAGCATGGCAGTTACCAAAGCAACCGACATCTATGAGGACGCGTAAAGAAATTTTTGGATGCAAATAATAAACCAGATAAAAACTGTCAAATAGCCTGACCTGGAATCCCGTAGCATGTAACTTGGTCAATTATGATCCGCTCGAGATAAGATGCAGTTGTAAAAGTAGAGGGAAATTTTTTGCCACGCTTTTCCCGCCGTGCCTCACGATGACGTCACTATTTAGAGGTGGAAAGATGCTGTTGCCATAGGCTGGTGAAGATTCTCAGTGTGTTGCCATAGGTTGTTTGTTCCCGAAAGACCGCCTACTTTAGCTGTACCTTGTGTTGCGTTCATGACCGTAGAAATTATAGAAATCAGACTCCCGCTGAAATGTCTTTTCAAACACTGCGGGTTTTCGATGTGCAAAATAGAAGGGAGAAAATGTAAACGCCGATTTGTCTTGCTGTTCATAAAGTAGGAGACGCACGATTTAAGAAGAGCTGAAAAGCTTTAAACAGGTTGTTTTGTGTCGTTTTAATTTTTCCGTTTAACAAATGTCTAAGGCAGCACAAGTTGCCATTTACTAGACTGCAGAAATTTTCCACAGCCCCTTTTTCAGAAAATGTTTTCAGTTCTGTGCTATAAAATAAAATAAAAAAATGACATTTGCACAAATTAAAATGTACCAAGTTTTCTTCAGTTAGGTCTTTAACGATGTGTTTCAGAAGTATAACCTACCAAATCCACTTATTTCACTGAACACCTGAGACAGTGAACTGGCATGTGAGTGAAGTGTTTATTTGCCATTCTATACAATCAAAGAAAACGTTCATTTATGATCTTCAGGGTTTGCTTTATTCATGAAAAAAGGTTCAGTGCAAAGCAAAAAGGTCCAGTGAAATGTTTTTACAACTTCATTTTTGACTTGGATTATAGTGTCTTTGCTCTTCATTATATTAGTTTAAATTATGCTCATACAAGCAGGAAAATGATGGAATGATTTTTATTTATATAATTTCAAGGTATTGGTGTGCTTCTCAACCAAACGTTGTGTTGTTCCAGGCCACATTGGCTGCATCCATGTCCACAAAGTTAACATAAATCCTGAAATAGACATCAAGACAAATAGGTTAACAAGAGCTAACATTGGCAGTGAATAGCTATGTGACACACTGAAGTGGCTCAACATGCCAATCAAGTCAAACAAAATAAATGTGCCTTTGTTACCTGTCAGGAGAGACTCCCAGGTGTTTGTTCAGCAGTCCACACAGAAGCTTGGAGTATTGCTTGTTGTGAGCTCCGCTGATCTTGCCGATGCTGTGAAGAGAGCAGAGAGCACAGGGGTCTCCCTTCCCTCCAAACATCATCAGTTGGTCTGGGTTGATGTGCACAGCAATGTACTGGGATATAAACAAACACAAAAAAAAATTACAAAAAGTAAATTATTGTAAGACTAATAAACTGGGAGGTCCAGAAGGTAACAGGGTCATTTTTAATATTCAAAAAGATTAAGTGCTGATGTTTTTTGAAAGTGTAATTTGGTAGCTAAATTGTCTCTAGGAGTGAGTGTGAGAATGGTTGTTTGTTTCTGTGATGGACTTGCGACCTGTCCAAGATGTACCCTGCCTCTCGCACAATGACTGATGAGTGGCTGGAATAAATCTAAATAACAGTATTGTTATTTTTAATAATAATACTTTGTGGTTAATTAACAGTGATCATCACTAGTGTTTCATGTTATGTACATTCTTTTTGGTAAATCTCAAATTTGTATATATATATATATTTTTTTATATATACCTCTTTGTGGAGCCTCGTGTGCATTTTTGGTTTACAATTTTACTTATATTACGTCTTTAAAGCTAACATTTCCCAATACATATTAATATCTTATTTTCATGTTGTTGATTTTTTTTCCCCTTTATCTTTAGATGTAACATTTTTCTCTCTGGTGTCACTTTTTTATCCTCTGTGCCTCAGTTTGTATTCTTTCCTTCCTGGGAAACATGGTTTATTAAATATATTATATATCAAATAAATTTGCATAATAAGACCAGGGCTTGTCAAGTTTTGTTCATGTTTGTTACCTAAGTTGTTGGGTAATAGAATAGGTTGTTGAGTAACTTATTGATGCTTAATCCAAATTACAAAATTGAACAAAATGTTGTTTTTTTTAAATCCACATATATTTGGATATTTCTCGGACATATTAAGTTGTCTCCTATTGATCAAACAAGAAGCCATCTCAGGTTAATCATCTACCAGTGCTCATTTCAGACTATAACAGTTTTGCAAATATTTGTTTACATAATATACACCTCTAAGATAATGCTGATAGCACAGCGACTATGGCAAGCCCTTTTAACATAAAATCGAGTAGTCTGACTATCTGTAGTTACATTCTAGATATCTTAAATTGAGTTTTGACTAGGCACAATTACATTTTGACTAGTCAGAATGCTAATTTAAGATATCTTGAATTACATTCTGACTAGTCAGAATAACAATTCAAGATATCTTGAATTACATTTTGACTAGTCAAAATGTAATTCAAGATATCTTGAATGACGTCACTTTATTCGTCATTTGACGGGTCAAACATCCGTAATTACAATTCAAGATATCTCGAATGTAATTATGACTAGTCAGAATGACACTTTTAGATATCTTGAATTAAGAAATGACGCGTAGGACCCGCGGCTGCTACTTAGCTGTTCAAACAGCTGCCTGCAGAATTTTGGGTGGCTGCAATGGCGCTAGCTGTTCTGGACAACATTGTTAGAAAATGCCACAACTTCCTGTGTCTATAGTGTTAGCGTTAGACAGTGAGGAAAATGGCTCAGTCTCTACGCTGTTGTTTTTGTTCAGTTCCTGGTTGTTCTTGTGGGGCAAGAAAACCACCGTATCTGACCTACCATGCTTTACTGCGCTCTCACAGCCTGCTTGAGTCTCCATAATTAGTCAGTGTCTTACCTGAGAGAAGACTGGCTGGCTTTTGGATTTTTGTATGTGAATGTGAGGCCCATGTTTGTTTGTTTTGCAATTCTTAAGTATTATTCATATTTATTTTTGTTAATTTCATATTTATATTCCAGGTTGAAGGTGACAGTTGAGTCTTGTGTAGGTTCTGTTCCAGTGTTTACTGGTAAACAAACCCAAGTGTCTTTTCTGTGTATAAATGATGTCCTTGGGTGAAAGTCCTATGGTGGTGTTGCAGTAAGTTTATAAAATAAAAATAACATCCATACCCAAGCTTGTCACATGTATGTAAATTGTTCTAGTGTTACGTAGTTACCGGTAGATAGTTTGTTTTGAATTATTTTAAACATTCTTCAATTAAAACACACTTGAGCAGCATACTGTACTGTTTTTTTATTTGTGGATTGATTCAGTTGAATTACAAGGAAAACAAGTGCAATTTACAATATCTAGTAAAAACAAAAAACATTTAACTATTTAAGTTAACATTTTATAACCGTACACTATAAATTGATAGTGGATTATAGATATTTTATCAAATTATGTAATTTCAAATTAAATAAATTGGCACATGTATGTATTTTTCATGAATAACTATTTACAGTATTTACATCTAAAAAGTTAAGTCTGGTCCTCTGGACATTCAAAAAACCAAAACAAACAAAAAAAAAGAAGAAGGTAGAAATGTTTCGTCTTTCGTCCGAAAGACTTCTTCAGTCTGAGGTGCTGCTCAAAGTCACTTTTATTGTCAAAAACTGCAACATGTACAGGACATACACAGGATTGAAATTACATTTCTCTCAGACCCCGGTGCAACAATAACCATTTAACATTAAAACATTTATTAAACATAAGCATAAAATGAAATAATAAATGGTTCACACATTTACACATGGTTGTCAGCAGCAAACTGGTTGATCCACTCTGAGAAGGTGCTATTTAAGAGACTGAGCTGAAAACAGCACCTCAGACTGAGGAAGTCTCTTGGATGAGAGACGAAACGTTTCTACATTTTGTGTGTGTTTGTTTTGTTGTTTTGCTTTTTGAATGTCCAGAGGACCAGACTTAACTTTTTTTTAGATTTTCCTACCTGGATCATTGAGCAGCATCAGGATATAGTATTTACAGTGATTCACACAGATTGAGACTGATTAAAAATATGATGGAACAAAAGGGTGATTTATAAATTTCATGTTTCTTGCTGCATTGATATAAACACATGGATGAAGGTGTTGAAGTAAAACATGTCCAGTTTAGACTTCATCTGATCAATCAATCAATCAATCATCAATCCATTCATCACACCATACCCGTTCAACAGTTATTGTTTAGTGTACCCCCTGATCATCTGAGCTGTCAGTGCTGTCAGCAGACTCCTCTTCCGCACTTCCTCTGTAAGCAACACGGAAAGCGTAAACAGCTAGTAGTAAGCCTTGATCGTCGAAGCTGTACCCACGCGGGACATCTGGACTGCTCCCTGGTTCTGGCCTGTACTTCATGTGACACTTGCAGAGACTGAAGGTGCATAAGTTGATCAAGTGTGGACACAAAACACATGTTGGGAAGACTATGCAGCATCGAAGGAAGAGCAGGGAGGTCTGGAGCCATGTGGTGCAGAATGATGCTGCGCAGGACTTCTCAGGTGGGCACTGGTGAGACCTCAGTGAACCCTGTGGCACAGGACCAAGTCTGGATGGTACCAGCTCCAAAGCTGAGAGACCATCTCTAGGATAAGTGTGATAAGTGGTTGAGACTCCAGCTGGTGCTGTTTTTCTCCCGATGCCAGGATGTCAGGATCTGGAAGTGGTCCTACAAACACACGAGTGACAGAATCACAATAAGTTTTGACAAAGGAAACATGGACATAAAAACATTAACCCAAAGGTTATACCTGTGAAAGCTCTGTAAAGCGTGGAGTGCAAGCATCTTTTCACCAGTTTTGGGCTTTCGCACCACCACCACCTCGCTGGCAGGTTCAGGATGGATTCCCTTACAAGAAATAAACATAAAAATACGTCAAAATAAAAAATAAATAAATGTAAAGAGACAAATGAGCAATTTGGTAGGACACAATGAGACAGATCTGAGAGTTAAGATTTTTACTTAACTTGCAAATATTACTAATTCATAGAGGTTGAACCTGCATTTATTAATTACCTACAAAAACAAACAATTCTAAACAAGTTAGGAGAGAAAAATATATTTGACACAAGTAATATTGAGACTATAACAAATTTCACATGGCACTAATAATATACAGGTGGGAAAGTTATTACAATTATTGTGATGAGAATCATAACCATCATATACTAAATAATGTAACAGAAAAGAATGTGTTCCACTCTTATTTTATTTTTTTACCTGTGTTCTTTGTCTGTGCCTTCTTTGTAAATCTCTTGTGCAGTCCAGTACAGGAGGACCAGTTGGCAGCTGGAGTTGGGAGTAGTGGGCAGTCTGGTAAAAAAAAAAGTGCAACTACATGGTTACAAAAACCTTCACCAGCTGCACTTCTACAGAAATAAGCCAACATTTCTTTTTTCAACACACAGTGAGATCTAAAATAGATCTGTTTTTAGCACACACACACATATATATAATTAATACTTGTTATAACATATTTAGTTTTAAACCAAGTAGTAGATTGTATAATAGATGGATTCACTTAACACATCACCTTACAGATACACAGCACGCTACATACACACATAAACATATGTTTGGCACTAATGGAACCTCATAAAAATATAATTAAAGATTTTATATCATGTCTGTCTCAAACACTCCAAATAATGTAGCACACTAAATTAGGCTTCTTTATTACGATGTTTATGCGCTTCATATGTTGTAGCTAACGGTTAGCTTGCTAAGCTACGTCTTTTCTTACCTTGACAGCTGTGGAGATTTTCTTCATGGAAGAACTTTTATCCTTTCAAGTTTATTAGTTCGAGAATTCGCCGCTGCGGTTTCCTCCTCAGCAGCGAAAGAAAAGTTGGCAAATTAAGCAAAGATGTTGAAAAGAGAGACATTTCTCCTTAGTGCAAAAACTCGCAAAGCAGGAAGTGTCAGTTTCCGGTTGTCGTGAAAAAGACGTCGCAAAAAAATTCTTCTTGTTGCAGATACAATAAATAATCCGAGCTGCCGCGTTAAAAATCATGTTAAAAATACGAGCGTTGTGTTGGACTGACCTGATTTTGCAGATTATAAAATAAAAAGGCTACAATGCCTTATGATTTTTCCGCCAAAATGCTACGTAAATCTGTGACGTTTTGACTAGTCAGAATAACAATTCAAGATATCTTGAATGTCATTCTGACTAGTCAAAATGTGAATTCAAGATATCTTGAATAGAAAAGCCGTCTACATGATAAAATATTCAAGATATCTTGAATTCATTTTGAGATATCTTAAAAGGAATTTTGACTAGTCATAAGTACAGTTCTAGATATCTTTAAGTTAGTTTTGCCTAGTCGTTATTTGCTATCAAGATATCTACAATTTAATTTGCACTAGTCAAAACTTCATTTGTGATATCTACAAATACATTTAAGATATCTTGAATAATGACGTAATTTAAGATATCTTTAATTGTAATTATGACTAGTCAGAACTAAAAGTGAGATATCTTGAAAGCAAATAATGACTAGTCAAAATTAACTTAGAGATATCTAGAACTGTATTTTTGACTAGTCAAAATTCAGTTCAAGATATCTTGAATTGAAGCCTCCATACAACTCTGACGTCATTATGACTAGTCAGAATGTAATTAGAGATATCTTAAATGAGTATTTTGACTAGTCAAAATGCAATTCAAGATATCTTAAATAACAAATATGTCTAGTCAAAACTCAGTTTCAGATATCTGGAATGTAAGCGTGGTGAATCCTATTTTATGTTAAAAGGGCTTGCCATACAGCGACTGAATCATATGAGTGATGACTCGTTAAGGCGAACATCCCTTCAGCTTTGGAACAACTCTACTTGATTAATGGCTCCTCCGCCTACCTGCGCAGGTTTGCCCATGGCTTTGGCCAGTTCCTCCGTAGCCTCCGACAGCAGAGCCGCAGGCACGTCGCTTTTAGCCACGTTGGTGTTCACCACAAACATCGGCATGATTGTTCCTCTTTCTTCGATTCTGACAAAGCTGCAGATGTTCTACTTCCGCTCACAAAGGGAAGAAGAAGACGCGCGAGCGCAAAAAACTCCCCTTCCTTCTTTGTGGTCCGTGGCAATTAAACCACAGCGCCACCTTTTGTCGTGGAGGACATGTGGTAACAAAGCGTCATGAACCAAGTTAAAGCCCTGCTTGAAGTGATACCATTATTTTGTTGTTGTTTTATAAAAAAAAAAAAAAAAACTGTTTAATAGTGGAAAACAATAATTGCACCATAAAATATATTTTACTTTTAAAACCAACCTTGTTGAGTACTTTGTTGAGAGAGATGTTCTTGTTTTTAGTTTTCTAGCTCGCCTTACAACTTAGATGTATTTTTGTTACATTTTTTTAAATACCATTTTATTTTCATGTGTTATTCGTAATTTGTATGCATCCTTTAGGATTGTCTATTGTTGTTTTTGTTATCCACGGTTGTCATCACTCTGTGTTAAAATCAGGTCACTCTTGTAAATGAGTCCCCGAGGGTCATTGGGACTAACCTGTATAAATAAAGGTTGAATGAAAAAGAGCAAGACACCCAAAACAGTTGTGAGCTGTAGACATATGAAATTTTGGACCATAATTAATTTAAAACATTTTTTCAGATCAATTTTGTTATTCATTTGATTCAATTTATGCCTTCATAGTGATTTACATTTCAAATTATAAAAATATGGACATTTTGTCACATGTTTTATTATTGCTTCTTTTTTCTTTACAATACGAATTATGTCAGTTCATTTAAAAATAACTAAGATGTTCCTTATACAAGTTGACAGGATTTCCGGTGGTATTAATGGAATACATGATGTGACAATTTTCAGTAAAAAAACAAACCAAACAAACTGTATTACAGTACCAAAATGCTTGTGTTTGGTTTGTTATTTACTGCTTTTTGTAATTAATTTGTTTGGCACAAAGAGACACTTAACTCCATCTTTTTTCACTCTTGTATGTTTATTGTTTGTCAAATCAATAGTTGTTTGCATGGTACTGTATTATTTAGTTGATGTTTTTCTTAGTTCATTTCTTAGATCTTATTACTGTTTTTCTTTTAAATTTTATTGTTGGATGTAACTGGGACGCTGCGTACATCTCATTCCACCACATGTACCACATGTGATGCAAACGACAATAACGAATCTCTGACTCTGACTTTATAAAATTCAGACTACAAGTTATTTCCTGTAAGACAGAACTTTAATAAGAACTCTCAGGGTTGCTATCAATAATTTGGTCAGTAAGTACTGGTAAGTCTTCTTTTTGGCCCAGTCTCATCACAAGTTTTGAACTGGTCTCGGTTTTTAAAATCTTATTTTTAGATGCAAACTCACTAAATCTGCATATATACCTACTACTATTATTCTACTCTAAACTGTTAATCTAATCTTTTTTGAGTACCATATTTGTGAGCAGCAGTATGGTTTCATGCCAAGAAAGAACACCACCAATGCCATCTTTGACATGACATGATTGTGATCTGTGGTGAGAACAGGGGACAGGTGGAAGAGAACTTGGAGAGGTGGAGGTATGCACTTGAAACAAGAGGAATGAAAGTCAGACGTAGTAAGACAGAGTACATGTGTGTGAATGAGTGGGAGGCTGGAGAAACAGTGAGGCTACAAGGAGCAGAGGTCACAAAGGTGCAGGACTTCAAGAACTTGGTGTCCACTGTCCAGGAAAATGGGGAGTGTTGTAAAGAGGTAAAGAAGAGAGTTCAGGCACGAAATAGAAAAGTTTCAGGAGTGATTTGCGACAGAAGGGTGTCAGCAAAGATCAAAAAGATCAAAAATTTACAAGACAGTGGTGAGACCAGCTATGTTGTATGGTCTGGAGACAGTGGCATTGACAAAAAGACATGAGAAAGAACTGGAAGTGGCAGAAATGAAGATGTTGAGGTTCTTCTTAGGAGTGACAAGGATGGATAATATTAGGAATTAGATCATCAGAGGTACAGCAGGTTGAACAACTGGGAGATAAAGTTAGAGAGGCCAGACTGAGATGGTTTGGACATGTCCAGAGGAGGGACAGTGGGTATATTGGTGGAAGAATGTTAGAAATGCAGCTGCCACGAAAAAGACTAAGAAGAGCTATATGGATGCAGAGGACAGGTAGTTGGAGTGAAGACAGAGTGAGATGGAGAAGGATGATTCGCTGTGGCGACCCCCTGAAGAGGGAAAAGCTAAAAGAAGAAGAAGAATCTAACACTTGTTCCACCAGCAAATCCAAACGATGTAGGCTTATGTAAAAAAAAATATATAGGTTACTGTCATAGGCTTTGTCCATTTGTCCTTCTGGATTTGTTCTTTTTTTTTTTTTTTTTTCTGTTTTATTTGCCAAAGGCTGTTTTGGGTTAAAAGTTACACTTCTGTCATTGTGCAAGTCTTGCCTCCATTTGAGGGGTGACAGTGACACTGACAGTGGTGAAAATAAAACAGGTTTTGTTTTTCACGGTGCGCCTCACAGTAGCGTCATTACGGTACGGTACTGGGCATGCGCAGTTTTCCCAAGCATCATAAGCAGAGAAGGAGTCGCGAGGAGAGGAAAGGAAAACAGTGGCAGTAGGAGGCAGGGAGATAGAAAGGGCTGAAGTTGTTCGGCGTTTTCCTTTGTCGCCCTTTTCTAACGCTTACACGGCTCATAGCTCCTCCACGATAAGTAAAATAATCTTCTGTGCTTTCGTTATACACCGAGAACGTCACTCGTCTGGCTATTATCTATCAAAAAGGTTCGTATTCGGAGCTAAATTAGCAAGGCGGCTAGCACTTTTCAACGTTACGGTGTTCGTTAAAGATTTTTGCCTATCTACAACTTTACCAACAAGCTGGCGAATAATAGTGTACGTGTTAAACTGCATCATCTCCGTGATTGTCATTAAATAACCCAGTACGGTGAAATTAAATTGTTACGAATCTAATTTAAACTATAATTCATTGTAAATAGCAATGTAAGCTAACGTACACCGGATATTGGGTTGTTTCAGTACATAGAATTCCAGTATTAAAGCTGGGTTAAATGTCATAAAAATCCTACCCATGTTCGTATAAAATTATTCATAATGTAACATTGGAAAGATTTAAACTTGATATTGACTATTCTTGTACATTCTGTGAACTACACATGGAAACAATTTCTCATTTATTCTATCAATGTTCGTTTGATTACCATCAAGTCTCCACCAGATCCACAGCTGTCCAGACCTGTACAGCGGAAGGATGATGGAGGAGTCGGTGACCGCGTTTGAGACGCATCTGACGGCCGTCATGGACAGCCTGATCCGCGCCTCGGTCTGCGAGATCACCAAACTCTTCCAGGAGACGGTGAACGACTACCTGGTGGAGCTGTCCCTCAACAGGAAGGAGAACGAGGCTCTGAAGCTGCGTCTGAAGCTCACGGAGAGCAAGCTGAGGACCGAGCGCAGGTACGGGCTGGGCTGGGCTGCCAACCGCCGCAGCGCCGGGCTGGATGAGGGAGCTGCATGGAAGAAGAGGAAAGTTGACCTGGCTCGTGAGTGTTTTGTTGTCGTTTTATATCAGGTGGTTGATTTGTTAAGAGTATAACTTGAACACCATCTTGTCAACTCATGTATGTGTTTTTCTTGAGAGAGAATGTTTTCTGTGCAGCCACTGACACACTTGTTTTGTTGGAAACCATCTGGCACAAGCTGATCCTCTCCCTCCTCCCTCCCTTCCTCCTCCGCCTCCTCCTCCTCATGATCTCTCCCTCTGTCCTTCACCTCCCCCTCTCCTCTCCTTCCACTGCATTCTGTCCCTCCCACTCTTGTGCTCCCTTCCTCCTGCCCTTCCTGCCTAACTCCTTTCCCTCCCCCCACCTCCTTCTGTCACTTATCAACTCCCTCCTCCCCTTCCTGCTCCTCTCTTTCTCTCTCCTCTTCACGCTCTCTCCTCCTTTCCTCTTCTCCCTGCCCCCACCTCCTCTTCCTGTTCTGTTCTCTCCTTCATCACGTTGCACACACACACTCCCCCGCTTCCTTTCCTCCTGCTTCTCTCCATAATTACAAACTCCCTCTTTAATTCAACTTCACTCCCCACTTTCCTACTTCTTCACCCTGTCCTCATTCGCTCTCCATCATGTCCTCCCTCTTCTCCTCTTCAACTTCATGTCTTCCTCTCCTCTCTCCTATCGGTCACATGTTTCTCTCCTTTCCTATGTCCTTCTACGCCCCCTTTCCTCACTTGTTCATCATGCTCCCTCCTCCCCCTTCTTGATTTCTTCTCTCCTTCACCTCTCTAATCCTTTCCAATCTCCTCATCTCCCACCTCCCCACCCTCTTTTCTCCTTCATCTTTCTCTCCTTGCCTTGCAATCATCTCCTCCCACCCATTTCTCTCCCCCTCATATTTCATCTGCTGTCTCTCTGTGCCCTCTGTCTCTCCTCCCTCCCACCATCCTTCATCACCCTCCCTTCTCTTCAGGAGGCAAGTCGAAAAAGAGCCCAGCAGCCCATCGCAAAGGCTGGCCTGGAGGTGTGTGGGAGGAAGGAGGAGGCGGCGGGGGAAGAGGAGGAGGCAGTGAAGGAGCTCTAGGCTTGGGAGCAGGAGGAAGAGGGGGGAAGGAGGCCAGAGAGGCCTACATCATCCAGTTCCCCCAGGAAGAAGAAGAAGAAGAAGAAGAGGGAGTGATGGTAGATGACGAGGACGGGGAGGGCAGCCTCAGTGGTGAGGGGGAGGAGACGGCCAACATCAAAGAGGAGGTGAGGGAGACAGGTTTTCTCTGAAGAGGAGTAGGAGGAGAAAGTGGCACAGCATCTTTGCGCTGCTCGGCAGCTTCATGTGAAGGGCTGTTCACAGGAACAGGGAGGTATCACAGAAAGATGGTAAGAGTTTAGCTTTAATTTTCAGCCATCAAATGGAGGAGCAGAGGATCGAGGGAGGGCTATTGATTTGAGCCACAGGAGCCTGTAAAGTAGAAATCTCTTGAGATCTTAGCAACAAACATTTTAGTGGAATACTTCTGTGAAAGTGAAACGATGCATTCAACCCCACAAGTTCCACGTTCACAAATCTCCATTCATGTTCCTTACCCTCTAATCCAAACCGGTGCCTTTCTCCAGCAGCTTTTAGGCGAAAAGTGAATGCGCTCTGGACAGGTCACCAGTCCATCACAGGATCACATAGAGACAAATGAGACTGACTCATTCATGCTCACACTCCCATAGTGACAGTTTAGAATAGGCAGTTAAACTAGCATGTATGTTTTTGGAACTGTGGGAGGAAACCGGAGTACTCTGTGAAAACCCACGCATGCACGGGCCGAACATGCAAACTCCACGCAGAAAAGCCCCAGCTGGTAGTCGAACCTGTAATTCTTTTGCTGCGAGGCAACAGTGCAAAACAACTGCCTATCTTGCAGCCCCCACCCCACATCTATTCTGATGTAATATCCTTTAAGTCCTTCAGAGCTGGTTTAAAATGTGACATTAGCACAAGACAATCAATCGTAATGTTTTTGTACCAGTAGTCCTCCTTTTGGGCACTAGCAAATGCTTGAATTGGTATGATTGTGTAAGAAGTTTAGTATAAATTCATGTAGAGTAACGCTATTTAATGAAATACTGTATCTGTTTTCTTTTAAAAGTTGGAGATATGAAATACTTGAGCTGTCAGTGTCTTACCTGCAGTTGGCAACAGGTTATTTTTTGCTTTGTTTTTTGGGTCATAAAGATCATTAACAATTCTTGATGAGGAAGACAAATTAAACAGTTCTTGAAATGAAGCAACAGGAAGAGCAACCATTGCCATGTTAAAAGAGCCCAAACCTAAAAAATGTTGATGTGGTTCAAGTAAAAGTTAAATTGTGTAACTTTTGTTTTACACAGTTAAGACAACAGTCACAGCTTAATGTGATTTTATTTATTTATTTATTTATTTATTTCATGGTCTTGCACATGAACATGATGCAACAGATTGCTGGCCATGTTGCAAAATGTGAGGACTCCACTGGAACTGCTGCAAAGTTTTATCATTAGTTCAGATTTCCGCTGAATTTCCTCGCTTCACATTAACTGTTTTTTTCCTAATTAAGAGACAAACCCAGAAATTGGCTCCATAGTTCTTCTCTTACAGGATTCTTCAGCTTCTGTTTTAATTTTCAAAACGTGCAGAAGCTGCTTGGACACGTGAAAATCTTTACAAAGCTTTTACATTGGTAATTTACTTTTGTTCTGAAAGTTTAGAAACAGTTCTCACAGGGATTGGATCTCCTGCAGCACCCAAATATTTGTGCACTCATTTATTTTGTTAGGAGGAGATCAGTTCTACTTCTCTGCTGAACTTCACACATGCAGAACATTTAACCTGCCATACATACTGTCGCTTAAAGTGGCTGTTGCCTGTAAATTAATGAGGAGCTGTTTGAACAGATTTTAAAATGCATGTGATATTTCTGGGCTCAGCTGTTTGCTCTCTAACTCTTAACTTTTTGTGCAGTTTTCTCAAACAGAGGGCTATCAGCCTGCTTCTCTGCGGCTAATCAAGGAGGCTTTGAAGCTGAATCCACCCATCCAGAACTTCCACATCGGTTCCAACTCCCAGCGTGATGGTAATGATGCCAGGACTCACCTAATGAGGAAGGGAAAGTTAGAAAAATGTCCTGACACAATTGGTGGAAGTGATTGTTCACACAAACTCTCCTCCTCTGTTTTCAGACCTGTCAGATTGTCCCCCAGTTCTTCATCCAGGACAGAGAGGAGACAAGGACTGCAAAGTGGGTCGTACAGAAACGTCAGATGAGGGTATGGTGGTGGATGAGCTACCAGGTCTGGAATCTGCTCTAAAAGCTGAGAGAGGCTGTGAGCCGACGGTCAGGACAGCTTCACATGATTCGGAGGTAGGAAGAAAGAGCGAGGTCTGCGTGGCTCCAAAGTACATTGGTCTGGATGGAATGGAGCAGGAGGGGGAGCTGGATCAGCCTCCCACTCTGCAGAGGGAGGACGAGATGAAGCAAGGCAGAGTGAAGGATGGGGTGGCTGGAGTAGTGGAGCTAAGGTTAGGCTGGTCCCAGAAGCTGAGAGAGGAGGATTCAGCCACAGTGAAGCCTGTAGATGGCGCTGTGGAGCAGGCAGAGTCTGAGCACCTGCCCCACCTGTCAGCCCCTGGGAGTGTCGGGGAGAGCGGCGGAGAAGAGGAGGGGGGAGAAGACTTGCTCCACTTCTGCCCACAGTGTGGAGGAGGCTTCACTTCAGATGCAGAGCTGGATGAGCACCCCTGTCCACTAGGCGGTGCCCACTTACCAGGCAGCGAGTCAGAAGACGGCCTTTTCCCCTGCGCTCACTGCGGGAACACCTTCAGCCACCCCTGGGCTCTAAAGAACCACGAGTGTGCCTGCGCCGCCGAGCGGCCACACTGCTGCGAGATCTGTGGTAAACGCTTCACGCACTCGCGCTCACTGGAGCGCCATCATCTGGTGCACACGGGGGAGAGGCCGCACCGCTGCCCGCAGTGCGGACGCTGCTTCAGCCGCCTCGGCAACCTAGAGCGGCACCAGCGGATCCACACGGGGGAGCGTCCATACGGCTGCGACGCATGTGGGAAACGCTTCAGCCGCGTGGAGTACCTAAAGAGACACCAGCTCATCCACAACACCGAGAAGGCAACGCTGCAGTGCTCCACCTGTGGGAGGGGCTTCTGTGACGTGGAGCAGCTGAAGAACCACCAGTGCTTTGATAATCCGTGCTAGAACTTCAGAGGGAACTGTCTGATGCAGAAGTTACCTGATGAATGTGGCTCGTGAACTGTGTTACCCTCAGTGAGTGTCTTTAAGGTCAACGAAGCTCAGACGTGGATGATTTTTGCAGGCAAGAATTAATCTGTAAATTACCTTTATAGGAAGCGAGTTAAAAATCTCTTATTTCTTTGTGAAGATGTTTAAAGCCTGAACTTATTTATGATGAAGACTACATTGTGAATTTATGATTTTAGCAACAATATCTTGCATTCAAGCTTTTTTCTGACAGTACAGTTGATGGGTTTGTAGGTTTTATTTTGTCTGTTTGTGTTTTGGTCCGTGTCATAAAATAAATATTTCAATTCCTCTTAAATTATTCTTGTTCTGGCCTTTTTCTGCAGTTAAGGAAATTCACATTTGACCAATTTTGTAAATATAAATACATAATAAATATGCACTTGTTTATTAACAAATTTAAGTCAAAGTGACGAGGACTGTCCAAAAAATGCTTAATTTCAAAAACAGCTGTACTTTAGGATTATTTGTTAGTAAAACTAAAATTTAATGAAGTAAAGAATGACTTGTGTGTTGCAGGGTTTTATTGCACTAAAATAATTAGTCTATGCAAATGGTTTTATTCAAGGACATATAAAAGATACAAGTTATTCTTTAGAAAAGAACGAGTAACATTTTCATGTAAAACTACAAAGAAAGTTGTTGCTTCCTTTTTTTAGTTTAGTATAATTGAACTTCTAAATCTGGAAGATCTTGTATAAAGTCAACTGATCGCTGTGACTTGCTTTGCATTTGCCTCTTTTAAACTCTGAAGATTTTCTTTCATTTTTTTTTTAGTAAAACTTCAAAGATTTCTGCCAATTTAAGGTTCATTGTTTCCAAACTATTCAGCTTCTGACTCAAAACAACACTAGCAAAAACTTGAGACTGTTGCTATCAAACTTGTACAACAAACAATTTGATACAGGGACAAAATGTTTTAAGAGATCCAGATTTTGTGTTTTTAATTAAACAAAGCATTTTAAATTTGTGGATTCATTTATGTCATTGAATTCATACGGAATCGTCCTTTAGTTCTTTCCATAAAACCTTCTGCAAACGTTTAATAATTGTCTTCATTAAATGGTCTTTAAATAATTAACTATTAATAACTTGTTTAGTCTAAAGATTGAGTTTGATACATTAACCCTTAGGAACACTTTACAAAGACCTTTAATTCTATGGGTTCAAAAAGTGTGTGTGTAATAAATTGGCTGACGTTTAATAGGTGAACTATCAGTTTATTACCGTAGTTTTCAGTCTATAAGGCGCACCAGATTATAAGATTCACTGTTGATTTTTGAGAAAATTGTAGAATTTTGTGTGCGCCTTATAGTCGGAAAAAATACGATAGTTGTTTGTTTTGGTTTTTTCCCCAACTCAAAATGAAGCATTTGGTTAGACCAGGGGTCTGCAACCTGTGGCTCTGGAGCCACAAGTGGTTCTTTGGTCCATCTACAGCAGCTCTTTCAAGCTTTGACCAAAACTGAATTTTATTGGTTGTTATACTAAAATAAAACAAGGTTTTTTCCTGTTATTCTTTTTGCAAGTATGTGAATAGTAGAACAATACAAAGTGTAAAGCATACTCATTGTAATGTTTTATCTCTTCAAATTAGGATACTTAATTTTTCCACAATAAAAAAAAAATAGGCCTGCATAGTTCATTGTTTAAAATTTTACAAAAATGTTAAAATCTGTATTTTTCTTTTTTTTACAACAATCCAGTTTTTTTCCTTAGTCGTAAAATGTACATGTATCAAATGTTAAAAACCATTTTATATTTTTAATTTTATAAAGTCACCCCTACTGGCCGGAAAAGCCCCTTCCAACAAATTTAAAGTGGTCCACGGGCCACCAGTTGATCACAGTTGTACCAGATTGCTGTGGCTCCACACACTTCATTTACTGAATAAAGGGGCAAAAATGGCTCTTTTGTTCATAAAGGTTGCTGACCCCTGGGTTAGACTTAACATTTTAAATTAGCAAATTTTGTGTAGTCAAAAGTTTTTTTTTTTTTTGGGGGGGGGGGACATAAATTTGTGCATTTTTCTTGTTCATCAACAATGCAGACACCTGAAATTTCAGCCCAACAGGCAAAAGAAAAATGAGTGGGCTCAGGTCCTGGCAGGCCCACTCATCAGCAACACCCCAGGTGTGGGTGGGAGACCTGATCCACTTCAGCCCACAGTGTAGAGGACTCACTTCAGACCCATGTCCACTCGGTGGCGTCCACCTAAAGGACAGCGAGTCAGAGGACAACCTTTGTCCCTGCGCTCACTATTATTCAGTGATTATCTTGAAGGTCAGATTTGTGAATGATTTTTGTTGGCAAGAATTTAGCTGTAATTTTTTTTTTTCAAAGTGGAATAAAATTATTTGTCATTTCTTTGTTTTAGTTCTAAATTTGAAATCAGTCATAGCAGTAATAACTCACAGGTCAGATTTTTTTTTTTCCCCAGCATAACTCATCATTTTTTTTTTTTTATGTTCGATTGTATTTTGTGAGATTGTGTTTTAATCATACAAACAACAACATATTTCAGTCACTTTTGGCTTTATTGATATCTGGAGTTCGTGTCAAGATCACAACAATGATTTCCAATGATCAGATCAGACAAGTGAAACATTTCGAGTCGTCAAACATTTATTCATGAATTCAACTTTGTGGGTTTGTTTAGAACTGAACTGGCTTGACAATCCCCATCAAACAAAGTTATTTTCGTATTTAGCCTTTTTTGAAGGATTTCCTCCAGATTCTTTAAGGACATCTTGGCAACACAATAATGTACCTCATTGTTACTTAAGCTGCAATCTTTTTTTACAATGTCTTCAGGACTATTGGGATCATTGCGTCCCACAGCTGCATATGTAGGGAAATGTAAATTCCCAGCATTGTTTTGAAAATCCTTGCAGCAGTAAGCAGACCACATATACTCCGGTACAGACACCTTGTCATTCATCTTCTTGGGAGGTATGAAGGGTATTCCTCCAGTGATCACATACATGTCTCCCGTACAGCGGTTCTTTATGTTAAGTATTTCTTTCTCCCATGTAGCCCATTGGCCATTGTTTGAGCCTTCTCGTTGTGGTACGACGTTTGTCAGAGTGAAAGTAGACTCTTTGTCCTCTTTTGTTTCTAGATGCTGACTGGGAGCAAGATGGCCCTTGGTGTAGATGGATCCTTGGTAATCGGAAAGCGATGCCTGGTTATTGTATTCCACCTTAATATTTTCAATGGGTTGCATTTCGGCACTGCGCCTCTCATCTATCAACTGATTAATATTGAGAAAAAAAAAGTTTAATGTAGATGACAGTATTAATATTATTGTATTTCAGACATTTTTTTTTAACCAGGATTTTTAGGTATGCATTACTATGTGTTGCTTATTTACAAATGGATTATAAAACAGAAAACTGTTTAAATAAAATGCAAATTGTAAAAACAAGACGCCAGTATATTAAGTTATATTTTATGGTTTGATAACTTGCACAACTGGCTTGCTTAAATCCAAATAGTACTTTTATTTAAATGCTGTTTGTTAGAATTTTTTGCTTCTTACCTGCGGTTCATACATCCATTCTTCATCTTTGGGCCTTGGTGCGTCTGAACGACTGACTTTATATGCAGAGTACAGTGGTGCACAAGAAATAGGACTATACAGCGTGGCAAAGCGGTACTTGTTTTTGTACTGCTGGCATATCAGCTTGTAATCTCCCTTTATTCCTCTTGGTGGAATGCCATTATAGAAGAAATCGTTGCACTGAGAAAATTCAGGTACGATTCGGCCGAAGACTGTGTAAAAACAGCAAGTTAAGAGAAACAAAAAAACTCCTTTGGAGAACTGATGCATCTTTCATGTAAGGCAGAACAAACTGGCTGTAGAGTGAAGGTCTCTTGAAAGAAAAGGTTGACCCGTCTGATGCCTGACTCAAGTTAAATAGTCATCGTTCGGACCCTGAGATAAGGGGTGGCGCTTTACAAATGATATGTAAATAATGAAATAAGAGACTTTCTGATGAAATATTTTACTGAACATGGACTAAAATTGTTCCGTTTTATTAGGAAGTACCTTTTTTGGTCATTGTTTTATGAAGTCATGCTTACTTTATCATTTTTGTGAGCATTTGCTCTAAATGAAACAACTTTTCAGAGTCTGGTGTTGTTAGCAGGCAGAGATGGTTCTGTTTTATATTATTTATTTTTTTTGGGGGGGGGGGTTAAAGAGAACATGCTTTATCTGGATAAAAAAAGGTGCACTAAAGTTATAGAGTAAGTATTTGTTGTGCATCAGCTTCCTTTTTTCTAGTGCTACGTGTTAGGGATTTTTTTTATACAGTAAAATGAATTTACAAAGAAGTCTTGATCCAACTGATTAGTGGTTAAAAAATTCTTATCTACATGTTACATTCACCTTGAACTAAAAACCTCAGAGTTTGGCAACTTTATGACATACAAGGTGACAAGGTGCTTTGTAGCAGCTCTTGTTCTGCTTTGGTTAAAATTGTTTTCCTTGGATTAAAAAAAAATAAAAATCTGAATGTGCAAACACCTTAAAGAAACAAAAGGGACTAAAGTCTGCCAGGCCGCATCCTCTAGATATTCTTAATCTGTTTGCAAAGATGATTCTTTACCACTCAAATGTGTGCTGCACTTAGCAAAACAGACTGATAATATTCTGCATAAATTAATTATTTAACCGTATGTCATGGATTATAACTTTTCAGCATGAATGTTATGTCAAGCATCTGTAAAGCAAAACAAAAACAGTTCTGGTAAGATAAATACATTTTGGTTAAAGTTTTATTGACACTGAACTCATCTACAGTGACTTGGATCATCTGGTTGATAAATTTAAAAATTCTTTGCAAACTTCACTCGATTAAGTTGCTCTGCTGAAAAAGAAAGTAATCAATCAGAGGAGATTAGCTCCTTGGTTCAATTCTGACTTTGAAACAGGCATCTAGAAAGCTGGAAATAAAATGACGCTCCACTAACATTGAAGAATCTTACTTATCCTGGAGAGATAGCCTGCTAACGTATAAAAAAGTGCTCTGTAAAGTTAGAACTTTATATTATTCATCTTTGATTGATAAGAATAAAACTAACCCCCGTCCCCTGTTCAGTAGCTAGTCTAATGAAAAATCATATCTCAGCTGATTCATGTATCTCTACTACTGTAAGCAGTGATGAGCTCATGAGATTCTTTATAAATAAGATTATTTCAATTAGGGGGAAAATATTCAAACCAACTTTCCTACTATTGCCTCTGGTTCTGTGTCAGATGAGACAACTCAAAAGATGTCACTAGAACCTGATTTGTGTTTGGACTGTTTTCATTGTTGAGCGCTCTGAATTGTCCAAAAATAATAGCTTCATCCAAAGCATCAACATTTTTGCTAGATCCCATCCCAACCTATTTAAAGAGATATTTCACTTAATCAATAACCACGTCTTGGATCTGCTTAATCTGTCTCTAATGAATGGTTACGTACCACAGAGCTTTAAGATTGCTGTAATTAAACTTTTACTTAAGAAACATAACCTTGACTCAGGAATCCTAGCCAATTATAGATCTATATCTACTCTAACTTTCATCTCAAAAATTTTAGAGAAAATAGTTGCAGGTCAGTTGTGTGAACATCTGCAAAGAAATAATCTGTTTGAAGAGTTTCAGTCAAGGTTTAGAGCTCATCACAGCACTGAATCTGCACTGGTGAAAGTATCCAATGATATTCTCATGGCTTTTGACAATGGACATGTGTCTACACTGGTCCTGTTAGACCTCAGTGCTGCATTTGATGCAGTTGATCACAATATTCTACTATAGAGACTTGAAGACTTGAGACTCATCTGCTCACACAGACTGTTCATGTTTGTGCTGATGTTCGACGTAATGTTTTTATGTTATGAGTGCTTAGTGTATATTTAGTTGATGTTTTTCTTAGTTCATATCTTAGATGTTATTACTGTTTTTCTTTTACATTTTATTGTTGGATGTAACTGGGACCCTATGTACATAATTTTGCTCCACCACATGTACCACATGAGGTGCGAATGACAATAAAAAAACTCTGACTCTCTGACTCTGAATATGATATTGGTATTAAAGGAACGACTCTAAATTGGTTTAAGTCATATCTATAGATATATCTATATCTATCTATCTATATATATATATATATATATATATATATATATATCGATAGATTCCAATTTGTAAATGTAAATAATGAATTTTCTTCATACTCCAAAGATAGTCATGGAGTTCCTCAGGGTTCCGTGCATGGACTCTTTACCTTATATATCTTGTAAATCTTACTTCTAATCTACAAAGCTCTCAACAACCCAGCTCCATCTTATTTTACAGATCTTATTTTTCCATATTTTCCCAACAGAGCACTTCGCTTTCAGACTGCAGGCTTACTCGCGGTTCCTAGAGTTTCCAAGAGCAGAATGGGAGGAAGGTATTTCAGTTATCAGGCTCCTTTCTTGTGAAACCAACTTCCAGTTTCTGTCCGTGAAGCTGACACATTGTCCAGTTTTAAGACTGGGCTTAAGACTTTCCTTTTTTATAAATACTGTAATTCGTATAATAATAATTATTATTATAATTATAATAATGTCTATTTACAAAGTAAGTGTGCATTTTAATCTTCTGTCTGAATGAGGAGTGGATTTGATGGCGGTCAAAAGTCAGAGAACAAGTTATGAGAACGAAGTGTCTTGTTTTTAAAACTCTCAGACAGTAAATAAGAAACTGGCACCTGCAAAGTCTGTCATTTCTTCAAAATATTTTCCTGTCTGTACTAACCATTCTTAAAAACATTTCTGCTGTCTGTGACTCCTAATAACCCTCTGACATCACTAAAACTCCACCCCTGCTGGTTGTGTTAACCAATCAGGAAGTACCACGTAACAGAAAGTGGATACCCTTTAAAAGTCAACACTTTTTGGAACTATTCAAGTCTTCCTGGAACTTTCAGTCTGATGAGACTCAATCTTACTGGAAGACTCGGTCTTACGGCGAGTCGTGCAGGAACTTTCAGTTCTTACTGAAAGTCTGTTTGGAGTTCTTAATGGAGGCTGAGGTCTGACAGTCTCTACTCTAATAGCTGATGGAATTGGACCATGTGCCAAGGGTCCGTCCATTCCAGCGGAGTCACAGCATGCCTCGCTGTGAACTCACCCGGGTGTAACGCCCTACAAAATCTAATGAAGATTCCTTCTAAGGAAGCTTATTCTGTTGAACGGAGTAATGTACTTCGTCACGACTTCTGACGATTCCCAGCCACTCTGACCGGAGATGCTGAAAGATGGCGTGAAATGGACCTCTGTACCGGAGCTGATTTATCTTCTGCAAACGTAGAGTCGTCACGCATCAAGTGTACCGAGGGCTGAGCTGGGGTAGGAGGAAGGGTGCCATTCCTGGTCAACACATCTTCCTTCATCCATCTAAATCCTCCTCTTTAAACTTCTTTACTCCTTCTCTTTAAACTTCTATTCACCAGTAAATCAAGCTAAATGCCTTCAGAGATGAATTATTCTCCATCAGTAATCCTCTGTTGTCTTGTTTTTTGAACTTGCTAAGTTTATTAATCAGAAACAGATTAGCAAATCAATGTGTACATGTTTGATGTAAAATTTTGATTCTGTTAAATAAATGACCGTATTTATTCTGATGGGTCAAAGATAAATTACATCTCATGTCACTAATTATACACTCCACTCTCAAGTTATCTTGGTCACATGGCAGAAATTTAACTCGAAAAAGAAATAATCCGTTGTTAATTAAACAATTAATATTCTTTGTGCTTGAACTAGCCTTAAGAATAATTAATTAAGTAGTGTGTCCACAGCACAGCTGTCCTGACATACTACAAAGTAGTTGTGACTGTCATGGAGGCCGTTTTTTATTACTTAATGTTGCTCTTTTGGTTTTCTAGAACAAAAAACTTATAACTTCATATTTTGTTCATTTGTTAACTTGATTTTTGTCCTTCTCATTTAAAACTAGAAAATAAATCCAAAATGTTATGTTAGGAAGTTACAGTAGTATGTTACAAGGTGGCATTTTAAAAGAGTAAATACCAGTTTTACAAAATAAAGAAGTTTATTTGACATTTCTCAAATGCCAGTTGACCAAACACTAACTAGTAAATGAAATATGCTCAGTGTTTTGAAAACTTAAAACCTTTTTTTTTTTTCTGTTTGTTGCCTTCAAACAGACTGATGGGCATGATCAGCCTCTGTGCCAGAAAATAATAATATATACTATCATAGATCCATACTGACGCCCTTGTTTTGATATTAACAGGGACAGTCGCTCCTCTGCTGCTCCAATTGTTTCTTGTCACTGCAGAAAAAGAGAGCAGACCACAGGACCACCATACTCAGGAACAGACACTCTTTTATTATTCCAGCATGTCTCTGACTAATAAGGCACGACACCAGTGATATATATATATATATATATATATATATATATATATACATGGACTCAGTGCAGAATTTATAAACATGCTTACTTTATCATTTTTGTGTGCATTTACTCAAAATAAAACGGCTTTTCAGAGTCTGGTTTTGTTAGCAGGCAGATATGGTTTTGTTTTATTTTATTTATATTATTTTTTGGGGAGGAGTTTGCATGTTCTCTCCGTGCATGCGTGGGTTTTCTCCGGGTACTCCGGTTTCCTCCCACAGACCAAAAACATGCATGTTAGGCTGATTGGTAACTCTAAATTGTCCCTAGGTGTGAGTGAGAGAGTGAATGGTTGTTTGTCTCGTTTGTCTCTATGTGTCCCTGTGATGGACTTGCGACCCGTCCAGGGTGTACCCCGCCCCTCACACAGTGATTGCTGGACATGGGCACCAGCAACCCCCGTGACCCAAAATGGAATAAACGGGTAAAGATAATGGATGGATGGATGGATTTTTTGGGGACTTTAAAGAAAACATGCTTTATTTAGATTTAAAAAAAGGTGCACCAAAGATATTGAGTAAGTCTTTCTCATGCATCAGATTCCCTTTTGGCTACGTGGTTTGGATTTCATAATATGAATTTACAAAGAAGTCTTGATCAAACTGATTAATAGTTAAAAAATTCTTATCTACATGTTAAATTCATCTTGAACTGAGTATAGGACTAAAAAAACTCAGAGTTTGGCATCATTGTGATATACAGGGTGACAAGGTGCTTTGTAGCAGCTCTTATTCTGATTTGGCTAAAATAGTTTTCCCTGGATTTAAATTTTTTTTTAAAAATCTGAATGTAAATAACGTGCAATGACCTTAAAGGAAAAAATAAAGGGACTAAAGTCTCCAGGACACATCTTCTAGATATTCTTCTGAACGCTCAGGAATGGCTTCACAGCAAAAACAGGAGTGTTAATTCAAGTCACAGTGTTAAATTTGACTTTTTTTATGAGTTTATATAATTCTCACAGATTCTGAGTTTAAAGTACACTTTGAAAAGTGTTAATATTTTAACTCTTTAATAGTGTTAAATATTTGACACCCTTGGTGTTGTTTTATGACACCACTTAAATGCACTTTTAACTCAAAATAGTGTTATTCCCTTTGACTGTAAGTGTTAATTTTTTTAACATACATTGTTATTTTATGATGCAATTAAGTGCTTTTAAAAACTAAAATTGTATTATTTATTTTTCTTTATTGTACTCTTTTAATCTCCAATGGGGAAATTAATTCTCTGCATTTTTCCCATTGCACATGTGGGCGTGTGGGGCAGAGGGCTGCCCTGAGGGTGATGGGGGCCTTGCTCATGGGCCCGGGGTGGGGCAGGTGAGGGTGGAGGCAGGTGTGGGTGTTTTACCTTTTCCACCTGTCGGTCTGGGAGTTGAAACAGAGTTGACTGGAGGCTCTCTGATGGCTCACCTTCTCTAGCTGCTGCTCCACCACACTCCCTTTTGTAAGTGTTGATTGTTTAACATACATTGTGTTATTTTATGACATACTAAAGTGTATTTTTAACACTAAAATTGTGTTATTGCCATTTTATTCATTCAACAAATGAGCTTCCCAGCCCCATAGGAATGAGCACAATAATAAGATCAGGCACAACTTAAACATTTATCAACTCCACATGGAGTGACTCTAACTCAGTCAAAGGTGTTAACATTGAACTCGCTTGACTGACAACGCTCGCAGAGCTTTTTGATCACTACAAGTGTTAAAACAACTCCCAAATCAACACCAATCAACTCAAATTTATTAACACTGAAAAAAACAACACTACATATTTTGCTGTGTAACTGCTACTTTCCTCTCCTCCATTGACTATGATGACAAAATTTACATGAATGCTAAGATTCGTAACTGGTTGTAATTACCGTACTAGTCAATGCACCCTATATTCATTGATCAGTTGGTCATCATTAACTTCACACAGTCTCTCACTGGTGCATTTTCATTTTTAAATCACTCTTTGGTCTGCTGCCTTCATATATCTCCTCCTAAATATCACTTCGTCAGTGCAGCTACAGCGTGCAATCTCAAAGACATAATTACCTGCAGTGTACCCTCAGTGCGGACTGAATTAGGCTAAAGAGCCTTCTTTTACTTCGCTCCTGTAACCTGGAACACCTTGCAAAAAGATCTGAAGTTGTCGACTTTGACCTCTCTTTGTCTTTGACACACACTCTTTTATTATTCCAGCATGTCTCTGCCTAATAAGGCACGACAGCAGGGATCACATACAAGGACCCGGTGCAGAATAAACTGAATCTTCTCAACACCTTGCTCCACTTTGCTCGAGCATTCCAAGGCACAGAGATGGAACGGGCCTGATGATGGGGAGCATTTTTCAGAGTAAACTGTCTTCTCTTGTCCTCTGATGCATTTTATTATGGAGGTGACTTTCGGTGTAGAGTTCTTGTAGTTCTGCAGCACCACCTGGCTGTCAGTCACATTCAGATCCACAGGCACTGAAAGGTTTCATCTCTGGGCTGCCACTGGAAAACATCAAAAGGAAGAAACTCGCAAGTCTCTTTAAACGCATCACGAACGGTTTTGTTGCTTATTGATGCAATAAAATGTAAGTATTTGTTCTCCAATGTGTGCTGCTGATTCAGAAACTTTAGTTCTGGATAAAACTGGATACTTCTTTTTTTTTAATACAGTGTGGCTATTCTAAAAACTTTCAATTGACTAGGGGTCAGGCAATTTCTGTGCACTTTTTAGCCTCTGCAAAACATATCCCTTTGATAACTATGACTCTTGTGTAAGCTGAGGACAAACTCCATGAAACAGAAACAAGGCAGTGAGTGCGACAGCATTTCTTTGTTTATCTCACTATCTCAGTGTCTCTTTCTTTATTGTTATCAGTGTAGTCATCATCAAGACATGGATCTTCTTCACATAACTATGACTCACTAATTGGAAATACTTTCAGCTAACTCAAACATCCAGGTCTATGTATGGCACTCTGGATTTTATTCAACAAATTTATACAAAATGTAAAATAAATGTGTCTTTAAAAAACAATATGCAAACAAATAACTGTGTCAGATGTTAAGGAGCAGGTAGAAAATGTAGGTTTAATCAAATTTTCTTTTGATAGAAACAGAAAATTGATCAGATTGTTAAAGTTTCATAACAACAGTGAACACAATTGCTGCTTTTTTATATAAATTTAGTGGTTCAGAATAGTTTTCGTTTTCTTCCGCTTACTGAGAGTTCCTCTCCACGCCAGACAAGACAGCAGCTGGACAGATGTTTACTCCTTATTTCTCATTTACTCTAATCGTTCAACTTTCAGAACCACGACTTGTCAATCAAATGGTGTAGCCAATCAGGTACCAGATGTAGGAAGCGCCACTCCTCTGGCTCCGCCCCTGTCTATCACACATAGCATCACATCATCTGCAAACAGAGGCCTGTTCTCTTTAATAGTGACAACAAGTAATGACTATTTGGGGTATGTTTGTATGCAGGGGTTGCGGGTTTGAGCCTGCGTTGCATCAGAAAAAACATCCGGTGTGAAACAATTACCAAAACTGTCATGTGAGGTTGCTCTCTGTGGTGAGCCCTGCAGAAGAGAGCAGCTGAAAGGAAATCATTTGCTGCACATCGATCGGTTGTTGAACATTTTAACACCTCTTCCAGGGTTTTTCTTTTTCTCCATTGAGGACAAGTTTAGCAAATACAGTAGTTGTCGACTGCAGCTAAAATAGAACATTGTCAACAACTTTTAATGTCCGCCTCCCCCTTAAAAAAAAAAAAAAAGACATTTTGTGACAGACAATCCTAAAATGTTTATGCCTATTTTTGTTGTAAACTGTTAACAGGGCTGTACAAATCTTGCTTTGACTTGTCTCAAAATTCATTATTAAAATCCAGATTTTATATAGTTGATTTTAAATTATTTTACTCATGTTTGAGGGCCCCGGGGGGTGGATGAGATTCACCCAGAGTTCCTTAAGGCTCTGGATGTTGTGAAGTTGTGCTGACTGACACAACTCTGCAATATTGTGTGGACATCGGGGGCAGTTCCCCTGGATTTGCAGACCGAGGTGGTCCCCCTATTCAAAAAGGGAGAATTGTAGAGTGTGTTCCAACTACAGGGGGATCACGCTCTTAAGCCTCCCTGAGCAAAACAACTGTTCTGTTTACATTTGTCTCCTGGTTAAGTGGTCATGAGCCAGTTTAGCTGCTGGATCTGACTGCGGCATTCAAGTGACACAATGGCTGATCCTATTAAGTGGATAGCAAACTCCACCATCCTATTCATCCATCATCTTTAACCTGCTTCTTCCTTTTCAGGTTGTGGGGGTCACTTGTGCCCATATCCAGCAGGCTGGGGACACCCTGGATAGGTCTCCAGTCCATCATAGGGACACATGGAGACAAAAGAGACAAACAACCATTCACTCTCTCACTCACACCTAGAGACTATTTACAGTTAGCAATCAGTCTAACATGCATGTTTTTGGTATGTGGGAGGAAACCGGAGTACCCGGAGAAAACCCACGCATACATGGAGAGAACATGCAAACTCCACTCAGAGGGGTCCCTGACTGGGATTTGACCTTGCAACCTTCTTACTGAGAGGCAACCACTCTACCAACTGAGCCACCCTCCACCCACCTAGCCAGCAGCAAATATCATGCAGCCAGTAGTCATTAAGGTCACCATGGTAATCACAAATCTGTGTCTCTCACTCCCTGACAACAGTCTTCATGAGACATGCAAAGTAAAAATTAAACCTAAACCAGTTGTAGTGTCAAAACTGTCAAATTGTAAGAATTCCTGAACTGTAAATACAGAAGTGTCTAGTTGTCATACATAAAATGTGTTTTATCTAGCAGATACAAATTCAAAAGACCCTTCACAACCAGTTAAAACAAAAAGTTTAAACCTAATGGGAATCAACCAGACTAAAACACAGTAAAAGTGGACCTAAACATTTGTAGATGTGATTTCTGTGACAAAATTAATCTCATGTTTCATTGACTGGAAAATCTCTCAGACTGTAGCTCAGAGACAAATTTATTAATTCACTGGTGTTAAAAAAATATAGAAAAAGGTCTGAATAAAAACATTTCTGTGCAGGATAAGGGTTATTCTTTTAATATAAAAATCATAAACAATTGGAAAATCAAATATTTTTTGCTGTAGTTCTGAATGTACTTTGTGCTGAACAAACATAGATGAATAATTTTACCTAGAAATTTGGTAAAATTATTGATGTCTATTTCTGAGATTACTCACAGCTATAGAAGCCTTAATTATGGAAATATTAATTTACATATTAAATATGATTTAAAGCATTTCAGAGATATACCACAAATATTTATGAGTAATAAGAATAACACATAAATGAAGATAACAAAATGTCTAAATACAGTAACTGAGTTTGGCATGGAGGGTAAAGCTGAATGCAGAAATAGCTGATTTCATTATCTGTAGACTCAGTCTTCACCAGCTGTGCCTTGTTTGCTTAAAAAGCTCTGATTGGTCAGGACTGGTTTCTGGGACCATTTATAAACCTTCATCATTGGATTTTTCACTACAGGCATTCAGTATGCTGACTTTGCAGGTCTTTCTGGGGTATGTAACGATCTATGTTTTCTTAAAATCTGATTTTTAACATGTTTTTTTTACTGTTATGAGTCCAACACAAATCATATTTTGTTTGACTTCAGGGTTTCCCTTTGTGCTCTGCTGATTCTGGGTACACATGGCTCTCCAGTTAAAGGTAAGTCTATTTGTGAAAGTTTAGTTCAGTTCTATCTACTTTTGCTAAATGCTGCTTGTGTTCAGGCTCAGAATTCCAGGAGCATAGTGGCAGTGGTTCATATACTGGAGGCCGTCATCATCAAGGAGCTGGCAGCCATTATGCACCGATGTATTCTGGACAAACTTTAGGTGTGAGCTCTATGCCTGGAGCAGGATACCCAGCTGAATATCTCAGTTCATCACAGACTGAAGCTGCCCAGTCTAGTCTACCTGGTAATGTCCTAAAACACTCTGCATTTACAACAATGTTCTTATTTTTAATGATTCCTCTCTCTTCCAGAAACCAAGTGGTCTGTGGAGCCTAAAATCTTCTCTGAAGAGGGATTGGCCAACACTGAAGCTGTCGGCTCCAGTGACTTTGTCCCAGCTCCCCATCCTCCTGTACCATATGGTCCTGTCCTCCAGTCTGGGGAGACTTCCAATGTTGTGAAGGAAGCTGAACTTGGGAACTACCAGCAGGAAACTGAGGAACTTGGTTATGCAAACAATCATATGATGCCTGGTTATGCAAGTCCATTTCTGCCAATTGTTGGTGGCTTGGGGGGTTACCCTGGTCCATACCCGTATCTTTATCCAGCATTTGACTTCAGGCTCCTGTATGGTCTGTACCCTCCTGGCACCTACACCACCTTCAGCAAAAACCATGAGAAGGGCAAGGACTACTATCAAGATGTTCACTACTTGAGAGAACATGGGCCTGTTCCTTCAGATTTTCCCAGCAGACCTGGAGAGCAGAAGATCATCTTCCCAAGGGTACCTCAAAGCTCCTGAATTTGAGGCAATGCTTAGCGAGTTGAGCATTTTAAATATTTCCTTAACTGACATATGAAAATTAAAAGCTAATGCACAATAAAATTGTTACCAACACTTTATCTTGATCTCCTTGAAATTGGCTTCTAAACAAATCTGTGCCACTAAAATGTGACTGGTGCAGAATATTTGGTTTACTGTAAAATGTGTCGTTGAATGCGTTGCAGATCTTTGGCTAGCTGTGTACAAACGTGTTTATTAAAGTTCAAAAGCATACTGGCGGTTTAAATCAAGGCACATTAACTTTAGCTTGTATAGTGTTTCAAAGTTCTCTCTGCTTGATGGCAAAACTCCAACTTTCACTTGTCCCTGTGGGAGGAATAAAGACTCTGGAACTCCTCATGCAAATGGTTTCCATCCACAGGTGGCAGTAAGGACTGGGACAAATGCTGCAAACCAGTTTGTAGACTCTTCCTGTAGCTGGATGAATTTTACGTTCCTTTTACTTCCTTTCTAATTTTAAATCAAGAATTCAGAAAACTGCATGAACCATAAATTTTAAAATGCCAACTAGTCAGTGGGTGTAAGACCATACTCCGAACTCGTGGTGTAGCAGGAGTTAAAAATGGCTGGCTCATCCAGTAAAGTTTTGTGAAGTCATCTGAACTTCAGTGTTTCAAAACGGTGCATGTTATCCTGATCTGTGGATGACATGCCCCTCATTCAACTTGGCCTCAAACAAAAATGGGTCCTTAAGAGACTCAAAACTGTCATTAACGGTTGAAATTCTGTACAAATGCTGTCTTGTGGTTTCAACAGTCCTGCTCGACGAAGCCAATCATACCACACTTTGTTTTACCACTCTGGTCTCGTCTGTCCACAGCAAGTCTAATATTGAAATGGGCCGACGTCCCATCAGCATCTCTGAAGTGCATGATCGAGGTGCCAGGAAGCACAGGAACAGTAAATGTGACAGCTGTGTGCTGAGGGAGTCTTGTCATGCACTTCAGACCATCCTTCACTGAACAGCCCACTCTGCCAACCCTTTAGATGCAGGATGTAAAGATGCATTTCTTATGTGAACTCATTCAGCTTCATAAACTCACCAAAACATTCACTGAATGTTGGGCAGTGATCCGTCACCAATGTGTTGGGCTCACCATGCACTGCAAACACCTGCTGGAGTTTCTCATCGGTTGACAAGATGTTGCTCAATGTGCAGACTTGAAGCCTTGAGTTTGTGTCCATCTCAATGAACATCTGACCTATAAATGAACATGCCAAGTCCAAATGTAATCTAATCTTAATGGATACACCTTTTTTGCTATCAGGTATTTAGAGACTTGAGAGACACTGCCACTATTACATCGGTGAACAATCAACCTGTGCAGTTTCCACAGGGGTTCTGAAAATATAAGACTTTTGCGGAGAGGTTTCCATTTGGAGCCAAGGTTATGTGCTTGAACCATTTGTGGCTTTTTCTGTATCACATGTCAGTTTTGATGATTTATTGGCTTTTACTTTGAATTGTCAAATGGGATGTTCAGGTTGATTGCTCAGGGGACACTGTTACCAAAAGCCAACAGCTCAGGGATCGAACATCTGGCCATTATTATTGCTTAAAGCCAATGGTACAATGAGCTGTCACCTTTTAATTTTCTTTTGTTTTGAATCATAAATGCAATAAACGGAACACGTGTATTTCAAATAAGTGGCATTTCAAAAAGGTTTTCTTTGCAATAAATGCTTAAAATTATGTCAAACAATATTTTGTATGGCATAAAACACTTAAACATGATTGAAATGGAAAAAAAAAAACTAGTTCATGTAAAATATATGAAAGGACTATTAGTGGAGAGCTGTTGGTCAGGCTGCTCCTTGTTGTGCCATTAACTCTAATCAAGTGTTTACTTATAAAATTAGATGTTACTGTTAAAATACACCAGAATGCAAGAAATGGCATCTATTTTATTCAAAATTTCTGGAGGACCCCCAGATCCCCCACCAATGTGTCCCCCCACATTATAAATGCTTCTGACGCCAATGGCCACCACTGCAGAGCTGAAAATGAGTCCCACTCTGGCCCTGCACATTTTTAATTTGTATTTTTTAGGTTATTCTGCAGTGGCGGCTTGAATCAGGTACTTTCTTTTTTCTTTTCCTTCACTCTTTCCAAGAAACGGTCTCCTCTTGCCGCGGGCTGGGGTCGCGCGCCTCCTGATGGAGCCACTCTTTTTACGCAGCTTGTCTCCGCGTGTCTTCCGTCAGACAAACCACTCCCTCCTCTCAAGAGACGGAAGAGGTTCGGGCTTCTTCTCCTCCTCTCACCACTCGTTTCTCCTTCAGGACTGTGATGAGCGCCGAGGATTCCATGGCGGAGTCCAGCGCGCTCGAGGAGCTGCAGTCGGAGCTCACCTGTCCCGTGTGCCTCGAGCTGTTCCGGGACCCGGTGATCCTGGAGTGCGGACACCACTTCTGTCAGGTGTGCATCATCCAGTGTTGGGAGGCCAAGGCGGACGAGATCTCCAGCTGTCCCAAGTGCAGGAAGTCGTGCGCCCGCAGGCTCAGACCCAACTCGCTGCTGTGTAACGTGGTGGACAGCGTGCGCAGAGCGCGCGCCATGGACGCGGCGGCCGCGGGGACGTCCGGATGGGACTACGAGGGCTCTCCCAACTGGACCCTGGAGGAACCAGAACGCGGGTCCACCATGGGCAGCGAGGCCTCGTCCATTGGACACTGGCAGCACCTGCTGGACATGTGTGAGGAGCACGAGGAGAAGCTGAAGCTGTTCTGTGAGGACGACCAGCTCCCCATCTGCCTGGTGTGCGGGATGTCCCGGGACCACAAGACCCACAATGTCATCCCCATCACTGAGGCCTTTGAGAACTACAGGGTACTGCAGGCTCAACAATAATCTCTTTAAAAGTAAAATAGTTTTTTGGTTGTTTGTTTGTTTGTTTACTGGGGAAAGGCCTCAAACTTTGTTTTCACACAACCTAAGACCAGTTGTTGATGAAGCAGGACAAACTTGGGTTTTCACAGCGGTTAGGGCTTGTTTGCTCCAGGCAGCAGGAATTCACCAGGTCTGTGTGAACTCCAAACACCTCCGACCTCAGAAGAGACTCGAAGACGTGTCTCTCTGTGTTCTGACATGTTTTACTAAATACCTGCTCCTGGGCTCAGTGAAAGATGTCCATTTAAGGTTGCTGTTGTTGGAGCAGTCAAGTTCATAAAACAAGGGGTAAAAATAGTTTTTCTTAACATTCTTCATGTGATTTGTTCTGATTTCTGCTGCTGACCAACAGGACAAGCTGTCCGTGGCGTTGGAGCATGTTCAGCTGCAGACAGAGGAGGCCACGCTCGTCCAGAAACGGACCAACGACAAAATCCTCCTCGTTAAGGTAATTAAACCACCAACCAGGAGGAATGCATATCGCCCACTGCCATTCATGCTGAACTTTAAATCAAAGCTCTCATCCATTTGAGTTTTGAAGTCCATGTTGGGGGATGACTCTCAGCTACTACCACACCAAGTTTTACCTCAGTATCTATAAAACTGGCTGAGGGAGAGCCGTGTTTGACGAGTTCCATAAGCTGCGGCGGCCATCTTGGATCATGTTGACTCCAGTGGCGTGCATCCATGGATTACTTTCTGAGAGTTTCATTATAATTTATCAGGTGGTTTACGAGATGTTTCTCTAACTGCCCATCGTCCACGATGGTGAGGTTTATCCCTGTGTGTGAATGCGTTCAGGTTGCTTGAGAGAATCTGAGCTGAAAAGACCAGAATAATCGTTAACGTTTGTTTTATTGAACCTCCTACACCCAGATGGTCTTGAAGCTGCGAACACTCACCTGCGTTCCTTTACGTGTCTGACAGACAAGAGCCAGGTGATGACCCGTCCTGGTTCCCACGGCTGCTGATACAACACGCTGCTGCTCGTTGTTTTGACGTGTGCTGAGCGTGCAGCAGGCCGCTCATACACACTTTGAACACATCACTTTCTGTATTTATACACACACACACACACACACACACACAC